GCAAAAAAGCCAAAAAAACTCCAAAATGCTCAGAAAAACCACATGAGACCCCGAGAAATAAAACACAAAATATCCCGAAGCGTTTTAATAAACCCCTAAACCGTTCCGAAATACTCCCTGGAAAAAAAGAACGTTGCATTTCAACACTGAACAAACTGATTTATGTGCTCATTAGGAACAATATTCCTAAAAGATACACCGAAGGCAGGTCGAACGACACCGTCCTTTACACGATCTTGAAGTCGATAGACGAAAGCTTTTTGCATAAAAGCTTTATACAATCTCTAAATCGATGGAGCTTTTAATATTGACCTTCCGGGTGTAATCGTCAAATACTTAGTTAAGCTGCACCAAAAAAAGCTTATATACCGCTAACTCTGCGACAGAACTGCCGCGGCAAGGTAGTGCTAAGATCCCATGCAGGACTAACAGCGATGTGTCACATGGTGCTGTCCTCTCACAGCTTCTTTGTATTGCGGCAATAAACGACCGAACTTGTTCTTGTCTTGTCTTGTTCATTAGAAGTACAGATATCCCACGCCACTCTTGCCTCAAAAAGAGGCGTTTACTTGGCGCTTTCCGACAGATTCTTACGCTTGGTTTTCGAAAGAAAGAAGAAAAAGTAAAGAAAGCATATGTGGCTCTAACCTGCTGCATGTGATCAATTGGAAAAAGATAGGGCTTCTGTCCTGGCTCTATGAAATCATAGTTAAACATATAATGGATCCCACATATGGTGACGTGTAAAATGAAAGATCGCCCTGTTAATAAAGCTCTCATTGAAATCAGTTAGGCTCCTGGAACCATCTCTACCTCACTGACTCAAGACCTGGACACTCACAAGCCCTCTCTGGTGCCAGCTCACAGTGATATGTTAGGAAACTGCGCGGAGTATGAGCTGGCCAAGAAAGGCACTCTCTAGTCGGTCTCACCAAGAAAAGAGAGGGTGAGAGTATTATTGTCTACATATGCACTTCGTGCCAGCTCAATGAACGCTTAGCGAAAAACAGGATAAGGTCTTTCGAGCCGACGGTGGACCAAAGCCGCAATTCTTGGTTATGGTGGGTGTATTGATTGGGCACTGCCGGATTGTTATTCATGCAATTAGAATATATAAATATCACTCCGGATGCTCATTTTCGCAGCTGTTTAGAGGACAGAAACCGAGTTCAAATCATCTGAATACTTCATTATCTCAATACTTCTACCCGGTTTTTACAAAAAAACTTCGGTTTAAACACGTTGAATCACACTTTTAAACAGCCCGTAAAAGCCTTCCGGAACCTACACTTCTGCCTGCGAAACTTCGTTTTTAGCACGCTGTAAATACGGACTCACCGTTGGTGTCCGGGCAACTTTTGTTTTTCTCTCAAAACACTTTTACCTTAACTTATCAGTTATAGTCCAATACTAAGATCGGTTTTTGGGGCTTTCACTGTATATTACCTAAGCTAATAGAAGCCGTTCGACAATGCCACTTCTACCTTTTGATTCCACAATATAAATATATCTTTTATTTAAAATCTCCAGTTTTCTTCTCGTACATATATCCTTTTCACTCTGAAAAAGCACCCTTAACTGGAGTATAGTGCTTATTGTAACTATACGACACTATTTACTTTTATATTACTTAATTTGAATTTTCTTTTAAGTATAGTTCATTCTATCCACAAAAATTTCTTCTTATTCGTGATTGGCGCTGTAACCGCGTAAACTATTTTGGCCGAGTCCAACAAAACACGCCAGTCGTATCACTCTTTTTATAATGAATTTTGCAACAAACGTTTGGTTATGCACTTTCATAGCCCACTCAATTGTCTCTCGTTTTCTTTCATACAAAGTATGTTTAAAAAAAGAAAATTGCCAAAAATCAAAGGTAATTTGTAGCCTCTTCAACCTTCATTTTATTATACTAAAATTGAAAAAGCTATGAAACTTTGTAGACTTATTTTGAATGTTTATTAAAGAATGAGCTACAGTGACGAACAAAAGTATTGGAACAAAGAATATTTCGCAGGTTATGCGGACGTTGTTATTATTTTCTTCGATACAAAAAAAAAAAATTAATGTCAAATATGCTTTGTGTGGAAGAAACTACGCGAAAATATTTGCTAAACATCGATGCGATTTTTTAGCAACTTATAACTTGCTTTTTGTTATACTAAAATTAAACGGGCTATGCATACTTAGAACTTTTATAAAAAATCTGAGTTGCAAATTAGTATGCAAATAGGTTTTACACAAAGTTTAGAGATTTAATTTTTATGTTTTGTTGTAGTATGAACTACAGTTTTGTAAAAAATAATGAAAAGAAAGTAGATTAAAAACACGTTGGATACATTGGGCCAATACTTTTGTTCGTCGCTGTACATTTTTATAGAACAAAAATTTATTAAACAATACAAATTTTGTGGGTATGGTATAGTAAAGATAAGCACTATATATTAAGTATACTTAATTAGCTGCTCAGGTACTCATATAAATTTGATGTAATTAAATTTCTGGTTTGTAAATTTTTTTACTTATTTATTTTTTATTTTCTTTTCCGTTATTCTCTCAACCATCTAAACACCAAACTCCGGCTTTGCTTGTTATTGTAAAATGTGTACATTTTTCTTGTCGCCCTCTCTCTCTCTCTCCCTCTCTCTCTTTGTCTATCATTCGATATGCCATTTAGGAAAATCTGTATTGCATGCGAAATCCGGCAGAAATGTACTTTTGAAACTTCATACCGAATACACTTCGATAACGGATGAATTGGAGAGTGTATGCCATTTGATTGCATCGCCGACGGTTTCGTTGCCCAGCAATAAAGGTTAGTATTTTATTGTTGTATATGTTTGTATACTTGTATGAGTATTTTATAAGCTAATCAAGTACATATGTATGTATGTTTGTACATACTGTAATGTTGCAGCATACTTGTATGGTGAGTTAATTACATGACAAGTAATTAAAAATAATAATGTAATCCATATGCACACATTAACATTTAACATTGTCATCGATTTTAAAACTATCTGGGGTGGTTAATGTGATTTTTAACAATAATTTAATTAACTGAAAGCACAACATTGTAGGCGTTTTTGTGTTATTGTACCAAATTGAATTGGATTCGATTTAATAAATGCGTAATAATAAATAACAGTTAGTATCGTTACGCTGACACTCTTATAATCAAACGTGTACTACATAACAACGCAGTCAATACTGATTTTTGTAGGGAATTACTGTTGAGGTAATATGTATGTATTTCAGAATGGCGCTCTCAAGATACTAATTGTGTATGTAATCAACTATGGCAAATAGAATAAAAGGCCTCGATTCAGATCTCTTGTTTTATTACTCCACTGTATGGCTAAAGGTGGTGCGCTTCCACTCGCTAGACTCAAGTTTCGAACTCTATGCTGCTTAAAACAATGAAATCCTTACTTATGCCGAATTTCCACTAGGCATTTAAATGACAAAAAATGAAGGCCATTTAAAAAAATGCCATTGTAGAAATGAACTTAATGAAAGATTTTTGAATATAATAACACTATTATTTTTTAATGCCCGACTTTGTCATTTGTCGTTTTTGCCATTTAATGCCTAGTGGAAATCCAGCATTAGTCAACAGTGATTGAACAGAGTGTCGGAGGGAAGAGGTATGTAGAAACTAGAGGCATATAAATTGTGTGCGAAGAGGTTGATATACTGGCAGATAGCGATGCATATCGAATATTATGACAGAAGAGACACTTTCATTCACTTGAACAGCCACATTTTTTTCAAGACCCGAGCTCATTTCTGGATTTGTGGGTATCGGAGCATCTTAATTCTAGTCTCATTTTGAGGAATTATTGATTTCGAAAAAATTGTGAAAATGAAAAGGATACTTTTTGATTACCTTAGTATCTTTGTGTTCTCTATTTATCAAAGAACACGAACAATGTTATTTTTTTATTCACTAGATAATACCAACAAACTATTTAACACTTTAACTATTGGATACTGCATCTCTAATGCCAATGTATGGAAAATAGCCTAGTCCGTATGGTTGTTGTACGCATTTTAGATAATTCAAGAACATCTCTCTTATTACTACTTTAATCCCCAAATAGACAAATGCATTTAAATATACATATATACAGTTACTCCCAAAAATGAGCGCATGGCTCTTTTTTGTTAATATTCGCAATGTGTTACATGCTAAAAATTTTCACTTATTTTTGTATTAAAATATGAATTTTTCAGATTTTTTTTTATATGAAAAAAATGCGCAGGACAGCCAGCAAAAAGATTCTCAAAAATCAACGCGAATTTTTAGACATCTGAAAGTTGCACATTATTATACTAAATTTTAATGGGCTATAAAACTGCATTCCTGAATTCTTTTTAGAAATTCGTATTAAAAAGTTCGCGATTTTGCTGAAGCTTTGCAAAATTTTTCTTAATTTTTGTACACAGTATCATTCTTGGATTTAAATGGGTTTTGCTAAAACATATGCCATATTTTAAAATTTATTCAAAATTTGCAGAAATCAGTATTAAATCTTTTGGAGTCATTAAAGTGAAAGTTTTCGCCGGCGTAAACCCAACATTTTCCTTTCAAGATATGCAAGTCGTACAAAGCTCGAGTCATGATTTTTTATGTTGTGCATTAAAATTTATTCCCCATTTTGATATTTTCTAAACTCAATTGTAAAGAGAATTTTGGAATCTACGTTTTTCTTTAATTTTTGTCCACTATCTCGACCATAAGAACAGCTTTTGTGTTCTGGCTCTATTTTTTTTTTATGGGATGCTATGCGCCAGCTTCAGCTTCAGTTGTAAGAGCCACCCTAATGTACATCAATACATAAATATTGATTGAAACACTTAACCACATTCAGAAGTTCCCTGCAAACCAAAGTTCCCGAAATCTTAACGAAATCTTTAGGAGTATCTGATTTCTGTAACGATTTTTTTCCGAATCTTCAAAGAAAATTATATGAAGTGGTTGACACGAACTCGTAAAGAAATTTCTGTACGAAAAATAAAGAAAATTCTGAAAAAAGTCTGCAAGAAATTCTTCACATAGCAGCATTATTTTAATTTCTTTACCGATTTTCTTCCGAAATTTCGTAAAAGAATGGAAGTGTGCGTAATTTATTTCATTTTAGAAAATTCGGCAAAAAATCGGATGGGATCTTTCCGAATTCTTTAAAAATTCTTTACGATTCAGAATACTCTGTAAAAATGGTTTGCAGGGTTCTGTCTTTGCATAGCTTCACCAACAGCAAACTAATGTTAAAATCCTAAGTGCATACCTATATAAGGGAGGTCCTTAAAAATACTTTATATTCGCCAAATATAGTTAAACGTCATTTTTAGTTTTTACCTCTGACATCAATATTTCCTCTTAGAGAATTTTGAAATTTGAAAAATGTATTTACTTAAAAAAATTATTTAAAAAATCAGTACAATATATGCGTATCAAATTAAAGAGACAATTCTGTAGAATTAAAGCAGATTAATAGCCCAATTCTGTATCGGTGACAAAAAAACTTTTTACTGACAAATTTAAACATTTTCATATATTTTTCCTTAGTAAAAACTGTGACAAGAACTTGTCACTGGTACAGAATAGAGCCGTAAATGTTTTGGTACATGAGGATGCACAGGTATTGAAAATGTCCTTTTAAAATTTTATCCTTGAATATCCTTGGAATTTCGCAATAATTATTTTTGAAAAAATTATATATTAAGGACTAATACACACTCGATAACATCTTCAAGTTTCGTTCTTTTTTAATTTTATTGGCTTAAGAAAGTAAAATTAATTAATGATTTATTTACAATACTTATTAGTCCTTGCGAACCAAAAAATTTTTAATTTATTTAAATCTACAGATTTTTTTCTTATATTTGGTACTTATATTATTATTCTACATTGTACGAAATTATTTAAATAATTTTTGAAAGTAATCATATCTTTGAAAATGCAGTCATTTAAAAAATACTGAAGTCAAGAAAAACTAAAAACGCAGTTTTACTAAATTTTGCCCATAGTTTCGTGAGTATACTGATTGCTTCGTGTGTTTTGATTTTTTTTATGTTGTTTATGTCGCACGGTGTTATTGTAACCTATTCATATAAATTCATAGTCAACGCCAAATAGATTTGTAATGCAATACTAAGCTCCAGCGACTGTCATTTGTTTAAGTTTTTTTCTGAAAAGTGGTTAAAGTCAAAATTATGTGGAATTTTTTCGATTTAAAAGAAATGCCAATTTTTTTAAACCTTGGTAGCGAAGAAAATGAGACATCACATACAAATTTTAGGTAATGATATTTTTAAGGATAACCCTAACATACATACAAAGTTTCACATACTTTCAACAAAACATACATACAATTTAGATCTGCTCATAAGAGGATATAATAGTACCTTTTGTTCTGTTACCCAATCTACAAAAAAACATTGACTTACTCATGTTACTCTCCCTCTCTCTTCTTTCCCTTTTCCATAATTAATCACTTACAGCATCACTGGATCGCCCGATGGGTGAGATGTCTAAGGCTGAATTTGCTGCCATGTTGGAGAAGCAACATTTGAAGGAATGCGAAGAGAATGACTACATGATGTTGGAGGGACTATTTCAGGCACGTGCATCCATCGATGACACGGACAACTCATTTGGGGTGAGTACTTACCCACGGCTACACACAAACCAACACAGCATCCTCTCATATACATAAATACATACATAAAGCAGGCGTTGGTAGTCTATTGATTTTGAATTTCCATTGATGCAGTCGAAGGGAGGGATTACACTTACAAATATTTGTACATGCATCCATATTTACATACATACATACAAACATGTATATGTGGACACATTTTCCATTCCAAATATTTGCGAATGTGTTGTTTTTTCCAAGTACCTTTGTGGCCATTTGTGCCACATGTTGCATGTAGCCAAGTGCAAACATACTCGCACACGACTTTTTTCAGCAAAGCATAGACTAATCGACTAATTGGTCTCCCTCATATTACTTACTAGCCGCTTTATTTTCACACGTCTGGCAGCATTTTTCAAATCCGTGTGTCAGCAGCATTTGTGGCATGGGACTAATGGTTAAATTTTTGAAAAATTACCAAACTATGAAGCGTGGATATGCAGAATGCAAAATTTGTTTTACTTTCGTTATTTTATTTTTATTTTTGCCTGGAAGTTTTAAATTCTGTTACTTAATGTGGGGTCACTGTAGACAACTTGTGGGATCATTGACACCCAACACTCAACGTATGATTTAAAACAAATTAATATGAACACAAAACACAGCAATAGACGATATAAATATATTTAGTTTCGAGTGCTACTTCCTTCCGTTGTTTCGTGTAGTTTCGACAAAAATTTTTAAGTGAAATTTTTTAATTGAGAAGTGACCAAGAACGCTTTCAAAATTTAGTTTACGTTCCCACAAAAAAACCAAATGGAAACAAAAGTATTGGGAGAAGTTTGAACTGGAACAGAATGCGAGCAAAACTCTTGGGAACGTTCTCAAGAAGAACAGAATGAAAATGAATGTATCGAGAACGTTTTCAAGCAGGATCAAATAGGAACAAAAGTTTGGGGAACGTTCTGCTAGACAACAAAACGAGAACAAAAGTTTTGAGAACTTAACATTTAGAATGAGAGTAGAGTCTGCGTTTTGGGATGAAAAATTCTTTCAGTGGGCACGACGATGGTTAATTCTAAGCCACGGTGGAGTGAATACAGAAGGTGGCGCCGATGGTAGCACCGCGAATCGGCTCTCAGTGAATTTGACAGAATCAGCGGTTTTGCTGACGTCACAGTCCAGATGACAGCAGTAGTGATGTGCTGAGTCAATAATTTTAAGTATTGATCGATATTCGGTACCGATTTAAAAAGTATCCAATGCTCTCGATACTCGGTACCGAAACATTTAGGCTTCGAATAAAAGCGCACATAGGCCAAAAATATGGAAAAAACGGTACACTCCCCTATCGAAACTTGAATGTAGAAGCCAATAGAGCTTTTAATATTGGTTCAAATGAAAGATGTATATATGTCGGTTCGAGGCCATACTACAGAGAAACTCTTACTTGTTTGAAGCATTTTTGTTCCAGCTGAATCGGAAGATATCATTTTTGTAGGCCTGGGAGCAGATTCTGTAACCAGTTAGCGACAATTTTCGAATCCGTAGCGGTTTTGTTGACGAATGATATGAAGTATTTTTACGCCAACAAGTGCGATATCGAATCGAAACTTGTCGCTAACTGGTTACAGAATCTCCCGCTTCTTCATCCGTCAAAACATTTTTCTTGAACCTTGATCGAGTAAGGTTAAAACTGATAAAATAATATTGCTCTGTTGCGATAAGTTCAAGTGTTTTAGCCGATATCATATAAATTAGTAATGAAAGTTTTTTTCTATACTTGAAATGCATATAATGGCGTAGGATTAATGTAAAGAATCGGTATCTGGTACCGAAAAGGAAATATTGGGTACCGACAATTCAGCACATCACTAGAGAGCAGTTTTATTTGCCGCTCTCAGTTGTCAACTCTACGATGACGTCACGCCAAAATTACTCTCATGAATTCTACTGGAATCGGCGCATTCTTTTATTCTATCATTCTTGATTATAAGCCAGAAGAAGTCTGGATTCATTCAACTTCCAGATCGTTTATAAATAGGGTGAACAGTCCATTCATGGAAAGAGTTTTCATTTTCTGTGCAAGGAGAGGTCATTGTCTTATTTAAGTCTTTCGTTGCTTTAATTTACATAATTATCTTTCAATCCTTTTGTGATTAATTTTAATATTCAAACATTTCAACGCCAGATCAAAAATTTTAATCTCGCTTCCATTCTTTGCGAATAGTTCAGTGAAGATTTGTTCCCGTTTCGTTCTCTGTCAGAAAGTTCCTGAGACTTTAGTTCCCGCATTGTTCTTAGAGAGAAAGTTCGGAAGACTTTTGTTCCCAATCTGTTATTATAGAAATGTTCCCGAAGGTATTATTTGCATTTTGTGATATCACAAGGTTTCTTATATTGCTCCATTGGATAGCGGTGATGTCAGCCTGAGTCTTCACGATGACTTCAACCAACCGAGTAGAGGAACCTGCCTCATTAATGGTCCGTACGTATCAGTTGCGTGTCCTAAAATCATTTGTCTTGACCCTTGGCTCCACACAGTTTTGTTACTACATCTCGCAGATGGGTGACCCAGGGCTCTTGAACGCGGACTCAACAGCAGGAATTGAACATTGTGGAGCACCTGTAACTGCGTTCCCAAAAGCTCCACTAAACCCCCATATCTGCATCGTATGCTCAAAAATCACGCTTTTTCGTTTCATCCTGAACTTTCTCATAAGAACATTCTAATCATAATTTTCGCATCTTTCTGCTATCATATTTTGTAGTAATATCTTTCGGCTTCTTTCTTTTTTTATAGACCGGCGCCTCTGCAGAGTTCAGTCATCGGCATCCACTGCGTCGTGAAACAGCCATCGAACTGTCACCGTCCAAACCGCCATCGGGTGGCGGCTTGCTCGGTTGCGGTAACAGCAGCGACACAAGTGGAGCTGGCAGCGGCGGCCCTGGGGGTGGTAGTGGAGCTGTTGTATTTTCCAGCTCATCCACCGGCCCAGCTGGGTTC